GAAACCCTGTTTTTGTGCCCGAGTCTTAGGGTAGGTCGAACACAATGAGGGCCTGAAAATGGCCCTCCGTTTCAGGCTGAAAAGCCTCTGGGCCTTAAATGCCCAGAAATAGTTTGAAAACGGAAGGCCCTCGTTTTTCAGTTTCAGGCTGAAACGATTGGGGCCTGTAAGCCCAATTTTATAGGCTTTTAGGCTGAAAGTGCGGGACGGGCCCTGCAGGCCCGTGTGGCTACGCAGTATGCCACACCCCCCCTCCTTGAAAGACCGAGCTTACCTGCGAGGGTGAAGCTGTCTGTCTGAGGGAGGGACCACAGTCCGGGTGGGATAGGCTGGTCGGGAAGGTTCCTGAGCTAACCTTTGCTTCTCATAATGCGCGTAGATCAGCGGTGCAGATGCTTTCAAATCTGCTCCTCACGATCGCATGCTTTGAATGTAACTTTGTACTGTCGCGGCTTGCATAGGTCTGATCCGGATATTCGGTTGCAGACTGATCTTGATGTCCATGTCAGAGGTGTTGCTCGAGAAGTTTGTGTGTCCAAGGTGCCGACCAAAGGGAACAACATCGTGGCCAACCAACTGTCTTATCTCCTCAACTCCTCGGACTGAGCTGCAACATGCCATCGTCTTCGTGCGCTTGCCATTAGATCGGTTATCACCGGCAATTTGCAGGGGCCAAGAGGGACAAAGATGTGGTAGGGGACAGATGGGAGAGCGGGATGAGACGGAGGCAAGAGCGGATCAGACAGAAGGAGGTCGAGGGGCAAGGGTTTTGCTGGGTACAGGGGATGTGTGTAGTGCAGGGAGGTCGGGTTGAGGCAGGGTGTAGGCGAGGTTTAGGTAGAGTTTAGGCATAGTGGGTAGCTAGGATGTAGGATGGGCACGATTATAGCCAACAAGTTTCATGGCATTCTTAAGGTTAGCAAGAGGTTCCCATGTTAGATTCTTCGTCGGGGTATCCCGTCCATTTAACTATGTATTTTGTGATTGGTACAGGATGGTCAGATACCTGACTAGTTCTTCGTCCTATGATGGCTTTGACGACGAATTCAGGGCTTGTGGGTAACAGGATTGGTGGAGGTCTAGGATATGGGCGGTCAACGAATTGGGGTGGGGATTCATGGTATTCTTTTAGGTGTTCTACGTGGAAGGCAGGGTGGACATGACCCGTGTCAGGAGGGAGTTGGAGCTTATAATTGACGTGGGAGGTTTGTTCAATGATGGGGAAGGGTCCGAGCCACTTGTTCGAGAGTTTCCTGGACAAGCCGTGTTCGGGTTCAAAGCGTTTGGCGGAGAGCCAGACTTTGTCCGCTACTTTGAATGTCACGTCACATCTGTGTTGTTGGTCTTGTTGGCTTGTTGTTCTTGTGTTCATTCAAGGGCTCCGGTGGCCTCTCAGAGGAGTCTGTTCATTGTTGTTACCCATTCATTGAGAGAAGGGCAGGGGGTGGAGGGGTTGAGTTGTGAAGGAAGTAAGAAGTCGGAGGGCAAGCGAGGATGGTAGCCAAGGTCGAGGTAGAATAAGGACCTGTCGGTGGAGGGACATACAACGTTGTTGTAGGCGATCTCGGCGGTTGTGAGCAACTAGTCCCAGTCGTGTTGGTGTGGATGACAATACTTCTGCATGATTCTTTGGAGAGTACCGTTCAGCAGTGCTATACTTGAGCGTGGTTCCATATGCTTTGAAGAGGTGTTTCTAGAATTGTGAGAGGAAGTGGGGATCACGGGCACTGATGATGTTCTCGGGGAGGCCGTGATGGCGTGCAACATGATCAAAGAAGAGAGTGGCGACGTCTTTGGCGTTGTGCGAAGAAGTGCAAGGGATGAAGTGTGCGCGTTTAGTCAAGCGTCAGATGATGGCATAGATGCAGTCATGGCGACAGTCGGTCTTGGGTAGACTTCGTGTGAAGTCCATAGAGATGGACTGCCACCAACAAGTGGGAATAGGCAATGACCGTAACTTGTCGGGTTTGGCCCGGTTTGAAGGGTTGACGACTTGGCATGTGGGGCATGAGCGAATGTAAGCTTTGGCGTTGGCGAGTAGGGAAGGCTAGTAGAAGAAGCAGGAGATGGTGTTGAAGGTTTTCTGGAACCCGAGGTGTCCCGCAGTCTTCGCAACGTGTTGCTCGACCAAGAGCTCGGTACGAAGGCCATGTGCGTCAGGGATGCAAAGTCAGCGAGTGCCTTTGATGTCGATGTAGAGAAGATTGTTGTGGACGGAGTCGTCGGGGACAGGGTCGAGGTCACGAAGCTTGTTGTGGACGGTGGAGAAGTCGGGAGATGGTGTTGAAGGTTTTTTGGAACCCGAGGTGTCCCACAGTCTTGGCATCGTGGTGCTCGACCAAGAGCTCGGTACGGAGGCCATGTGCGACAGGGATGCAAAGTCAGCGAGTGCCTTTGGTGTCGATGTAGAGAAGATTGTCGTGGAGGGAGTCGTGAGGGACATGGTCGAGGTCACGAAGCTTGTTGTGGACGGTGGAGAAGTCGGGGCATGATAGGTAGCCTTGTGTATATTGGTGATGGAGCGATGGGAGGAGCTTAATGTGGGTCATGGAGGCGTAGACTTTCTCGGGGGGCTTGTGGCCGGGGCGTCAGGAGAGGGCATCGACAACGCGGTTGGTTTTGTCGGGAGTGTGGCAAATGGTAAATGTGAATTAGGCAAGAAGGTCTAACCAGCGGGCTTGGCGGGGCGTGATGTCTTTCTTGGTGAGAATCGAGGAGACTGGTGTTGTCGGTGCGAATGGTGAAGTATTGTCCGTCGGAGTGCGGGTGCCAAACTTTGAGGGCGTGGATTACGACGAGGAGTTCCTTCTCATTGGAGGGGTAGTTCATCTCCGCGGGAAGGAGCTTCTTGCTTGTGAAGGCGATGGGGTATTCGCTGGGTGGAGCCTCGGGGTGGGTGGGGGAGTCTTTGATGGAGGGGGGGTTGGAGGCGTCGCGAGGAAAATGTTGCGATAGGACGGCTCCAATGGCGAAGTCGGATGCGCCAATGGTAACATCGAAATGTCGAGAGGGGTCGGCGATTTTGAGAAGGGGGCCATGGTGATGGTTTGTTTGAGGAAGTCGAAGGCGTTTTTGCGGCGGTCGTCTCAATTGAAGGGCTCGTCCTTGCGTGCGAGTTCGTGGAGTGGGTAAGAGATGTCGGAGAAGGTGCGGATGAAGGGGAGGTAATGGTTGACAAGGTCGAGGAATGAGATTAGTTCGAGTAGGGTCTTGGGCGGGGGGTACTCAACGACGGTGGTGGGCCCTGGTGGCCTTCGAGGGGTCCATGCGGATTCCTTCAGCAGACACGATGTGGCCAAGGTATTCAACGCTAGAGGCAGCAAAGGTGCGTTTGCTGAGCTTGGTGTATAATTTTTGCTCTATGAGGATAGAGAGGACTTGGCGAAGGTGCTGAAGGTGGGACTCGAAGGCGGGGCTATAGACAAGGATATCATCAAGGTCGACGACGACACAGACTTCGAGGAGGTTGCGGAAGATGTGATTCATGGTGGATTGGAATGTGGCGGGGGCATTGGGGAGTCAAAAGGGCATCACGAGGAACTCGTAGTGCTCGAAGCGAGAATGGAATGCGGTCTTGTGGGTGTCTTCCTTTGGGGATGCGGAGATGGTGGAAGCCACTACATAGGTCAATCTTGGTAAAATATTTGGCTCCACGGAAGCGATCAAGAAGCTCGGAGATCCGAGGTAGGGGGTACTTGTTTTGGATCGTTATCCGATTCAAGGCGCGGTAGTTTGTGCACATCCTTAGTTTTGGGGTTTTGCCTTTCTTTACGAAAAGGCAGCTTGTACCGAAGGGGGAGTAGTTTGGCTTAATGAATCCTTTTTCAACGCTTCATTTCTACGGCTTTCGGGATGAAGAATTGGTATGGAGGGCGACACGGTGGAGAGTGGTCGGGTTCCAGATCATTGGTATGAGATACACCACATCCGAGGGTAATCCGACAGGCAAGGACTAGGGAAAAACGTCTTTGAACTCGTTGAGGATGGAGGTGAGGGCGGGATCGGAGGGGGGAGCTTGATCGGGTTTGTCCGTTGGGAGCAAGTTCTTGGGACGTTCACGATAAAGGACAAGGCAGTAGTAGGTTGAGTCAGGGTTGTGACGGGCCATGTGGATGAACTCGTGGGGAGTGACAAAGTTTTGGGATGTAGGGTGGGGGAAACAGGGGATGTGGATGGGAATGTCGGGGGGGTTGGTGAGGCGGAAGTTGGGGTGAAATGTGTATGGCATGAGGTGGTCCAGCCAAGGTGTTCCCAAAACAATGTCGCACATCAAGTGCATGACATCGAACGATACCTGATTGACGAGGGTTCCGACAGTCATGGTGGTCTCGGGGACCGTGCAGTCTACTACGACGGCAGTGTCTTTGTCCCCTAGACGAATGGTAAAGACGAATGGTAATCGGGGAGTCGTAGGTGGGGGAAACAGGGGATGTCGATGGGCGTGTCCGGGGGGGTGGTGAGGCGAAAGTTGGGGTGGAACGCGTATGGCATGCGGTGGTCCAGCCAAGGTGTTCCCAAAACGATGTCGCACATCAAGTGCATGACATCGAATGATACCTGATTGCAGAGGGTTCCCACAGTCATGGTGGTCTCGGGGACCGTGCAGTCTACTACGACGGCAGTGTCTTTGTCCCCTAAACGAATGGTAATCGCGGAGTCGTAACTGGTAGAGGTGAGACTGGCTTTTCGGACACACGCGTCAGTGATAAAGTTGTCGGTAGCTCTAATGTCAAGGAGGGCCCGCAACTTGGTTGTAGACGCACCAAGGGTAGCGGCGATAAACTTGAGGTGGAAGTGGGATGAGTAGGCGGTGGAGATTAGGCATGAAGGCGGCGTTGTTCGGTGCCTAATATGACAAGCCGATCGTGTCGGACTTGTTCCTCAACAACATCAGAGATGGTGACAGAGGATGGATTCGGGAGAAGGGTAGAGGAACATGTACCAGTGGGAGCGGCGTCAGACGACGTGGGTTGCGATGCCTGGGGAGCGTCTGGTGGGAGGTGCGTCACCGGGGAGGGGTTGGGGGCGGGGGCCAAACGAATTGTCGATGCCAACTGTGCCATCGGTGGGGTAGAGGTCGTCACCGACGGGATGGCCAGCAGACTAGTCGCCGATGTCGGGGCGGGTTCATGGTGATCATGGGGACAATGTTCACTTGGAGGAGGACCGGGAGTGGCGGATGCGGAAGCGGCGGGTTCGGGGGCCGTGGACCTGGGTGCCTGACGTGTGAACTGTTTGGTGTTTGGACAACTTGTTTGTTGATGTCCTAACCGTCGGCACCAAAAACATCCACCCTGAGCTTGGAGGTAGGTTCGCTCCTCCGACACGAGTTTCATGAGACGGGTTGGGTGGGTGTGGATAGGGGGATGGGTGCGTTCTATCTTTTCCATCTGCATGAGGTGGATGGCGGAGAGTTCATCGGAGGAGAGCCATGTGGTGTCTAGTGGGTCGGAGAGGGTGTTGGCGTCGAGGGCGGAGAACTCGTTCGAGGAGGCAGAGAGAGGTTTCGTCCGTGATGTTATGAAAGAATCGTGGGCAAGGTGGGGCGGATGTGAGTGCGTCCTTGTACGTGGTGAGGAATTTATCTAGGTGAATGGCGTGGTTGAAGAGAGCGGAGAGGGACATCGGGGGTTCGTGGACAAGGTAGGTGGCGAGGTCCTTGTGGCATCCCCGATTGAAGCGGGAGATGAATGCGGCATCGCTGACGTAGTCAAGGGGGATGTGTTGCGGCAACGCATGGGCGTATTGGACAAAACGGTCGGTTGGGCTGTTTTGTCGAAGGTGACAAAGTTGCTAAAGTAGTCATCGACCGTCTTTTGCAGTCGGAATGTGCAGGTGATGAGGTTGGCCCACTTGAGGAAGGAATGGGGTTCCACGTTTGCTTGTTGGTGGTTAGCTCGTTCGGTGTACCACCAACGAGCTGCGTCGTCCTATAACTTGGTGCTGGCAATAGGGAGCTAATGCATGACAGGGGCGTTGTGGAGGGAGAAGGCATCGTAGAGTTTGATGATGAAGACGAAGACGCACTCGTGGGGAAGGCCGGTGATGGGGGGGGGGATGTGCATTGATTGGAAGGATGGGGGAATGTTACCCGTTAAGGATGTTGTGGCGGCGAGGGTGTTGAAATCAAGTTTGGGTGACGAGGACGGTACCTGGGTGAAATCAGTGGTGGGGTTGGTCGGGAGGAGTGCGGACAAAGGAAGTATTGGAAGAAAGGGGAGCATGACTTGTGGTGTGGAATGATCTAGGTATAGGTGGGGAGGGTGGAGGTGATAGTGGATGAAGTCAAGAGAGGTTTTGACTTGGGGGGAATGGTCGACTACAGTGTGACGACGGGGGTTGTTGTCTTGGGCAGTGAGGTGACCGTGGTGGAGGTGGTGGTGGATGAAGGTGGGGGTGTGGATGCCGTGCTAGTGGAGAGGGTGGTGGATGCGGAGGCGGAGGATAGGGGAAGGGTGGTGGAACCTGAGGGATTTGGGGGGGTGAGGCATGGCGGTGACGATCTGGATGGCGGGGGAGGCCTGTTGTTGTTCGATGGTGGCTATCCATTGGGAGAGGCCGGAGAGGGATGCTTTGAGGGAGTTGAGGGTGGCTTGCATGGTGAACATGAGGGAGAGGAGGGTGAAGGAGTCAGTGGGGACCTCTTGGGTGGCAGCCTGTTGACCAATGAGTTCGCGACGGAAACTATGGACGGACTGGGTGTTGATGGATGACACATTGATGCTAGATTCTACGGCCTTCGGCAAGGAAACGGTCGGGGTGGTGGTGGTTGTCGGAGAAGCAAGCGGTGATGAGGTGGAGGCAGCTGCAGCGGCGATAGCAGCGCCAGAGTCAGCAGCAGCGCACTGAGAGTTCTTGGTTTGGCGTGGCATGCCCAAGGGGGGTGTTGGATTTTATTCACAAAACAAAGAATTGGTTTAATGTTTTTAAGAATAATTGGTGAAATTCAAAAAGGTATTTTGTTGGAATTTAACAAAAGGAAGATGTTAAAATTTTGAAAAAGGGTGATTAATTCTGAATCGTGAATTAATTGAATTTAGTCTAAATTAATTGCAGAGTTTGGAATAACAAAGAAAAAAAATACATCCGGATTATATTTAAAAAAAAAGAATTTCAAAAGAGAATTTCGAAAACAATTGCGAGAAGGAATTAATTGATCATGATGTATTTCAAGAAATTTTTTGAAAATGATGTTACGATCCTGGCCAATTTTGAAGTACACATTCATCATAAATTACAATGTCGTCCAATTGCAAAAATTAATGAACGAACTTGAGAGGAGAGAGAGGGAAAGAAGAAGAAGATGATGTACTCCAACATAAACCAATGACAATGCTCTTCTTCTTCGCCAACCACTCTCCTCCTCCTTATCTCCTTCCCTCTTATTCAAACAAGAAATAACAATAATAATATTGAATGGCTGAACCAGAATCAATGTCTGAATCCCTCTTCTACTGCAGGCACAACATGAGGTCCACCATAGCCATGGCCACCCTTCCTCTCTCTCTTCATGTAGGTCGAGGCTATGGCGGACTACTGAGGGCTCTACCCTACTACTGAGGGTTCTACCCTCCTGTCCAAAGGACAACCCAGAGCGGCTATGTCGCTGCCCACCGGTGCAAAGGCAACCCAAAGCAGCTATGCTGCTGCCCATTCAGCCGCCATGCCCGACTCGTTATGCGGCACTACCCCAATTGGGGTCTTCCAAATGCAGCGCCTAACAAGGTGATGAAGATGGTGTCTACCATAGCCAGGTAGGTACCACTCTCCTCCTTGGTCCTCTTCTCCCTCCTCCTATTGGTAGAGCTCCACCATAGCCGAGGTGGAAGCTCCCGGTCTGCTTCCTCCCAGCAGCGTTGTAGTTGCTCAGCCTCCAAATATAGCGGCCTACTTGCCTCTTGGGCGGTGACTTCCAGCCCGCTCGGCATCCCAAGCAACTGGTACCTCCTCCCTTTCGGAGGGAAACATCATTGCAGACTCTGATATTGCCCGTACAGGCCCTAGACTCAGACTGGGTGGACTGCTACCCGCCTAGACCTAGCGTACCGCTATTGGGCCTAATGCCACTATAGGGGATTGGGAATTTGCTACCCGAGGTGTAGCCGATTAGGTGTCATCTCGGTGGAGGAGTTTATGGAGTTGTTGTACAATCCCGACACAATCGGCAGTTCCTCATCCCAAGAGTTCTGATCAGGCACAATTAGAGCTCGAAGAAGTTGGATCATAGTCCGTCTCCTTTGCCAATCCATTGGGTTGGAGATGTCGACCTGATGTCATTTTGAGTTTGATGTCATAGATCTGGGAGGTGAAGTCCTTCCTATCTGCACTTATGAACCTAGTGTTGCGGTCACTCGTAAGAGTCTTCGGGGGCCCACACTGCAGAATGTACTTATTGTGAAACTCCTCGATCACAAGGTAAGTTGGGGCATGAGGTGGCAACGGAATCAAATTCAGAAATTTTGAAAAGCGGTCAATGATCACCATTCCCTGCGATTATCCGTTCCTGCACTTCTTTCCCATCTCCGTGAAGTCAATGGAAAGACTGACCCGGGCCATCAGGAATATGAAGAGGATGCAGTAGCCCATAGGGCTTCTGCCGAGACGGTTTGATGCGTTGACAAACTTCACACTCAGCCACAAACTTTCATGCCATTCCTTTCATCCCAGACCATACAAACTTTTGCAATCGGCTTCCGTATGTCTTCTCAAAACCGAAATGTCCACTCCGGCCATGAGCCAAGTCCAAGAAGTGAGTACGGATGGGCTCATGGTTGGGTACACAGTTGGTTGTACTGCCCGTAACGTCGGAAGAGCAAACCTTTACACTCGTGGAAATCAGGCCGACTTCGAGGGATAACTTGAATCTACTCAAGGATTGGACTGAGTTTCGGGTTCTTGGCAGTATGCTCAACCAGAGGGACAACTTGAATCTACTCAAGGATTGGACTGAGTTCTGGGTTCTTGGCAGTATGCTCAACCAGTTCCTCCTTTAAATTCTTACGGAGGCCGTAGGAACCCACAAGGCAAGTCATGTACTCAGGGTGGCGAGACAAAGCATTCACAACATGATTGTAACGACCTTTCTTGTGTTTGAGTTCAAAATCGTTCACAGCAATCTCATGCAGCCAGCGGGTCAATGTAGTTGATGGATTAGTTTGTTTCTGGATCCATTTCAAACCCTCGTGGTTCGAGAACAATTTGAAATGGTGAGCCAAGAGGTAGTGTTTCCAATGACCCAGTGCGTCTCTCAAGGCATAGACTTCTTGCATGCAAGTGGAGGCAGCTAGCTTGTGACTGGCATGCATTTGCTTTAGTATTCATGGGTCGTAAGCCGTCACCATCATCTTGCTGCAGCACTGCACCGATCCCGTACAAGCTTGCATCCGTAGTTGCTACGAATGTACGTTGGGATCTGCAATGCGGAGCATCGGATGAATCACCAAAACCTCCTTCAATGCTTGGAAGGCGGTTGTACATTCTCCATCTCAAGGCATAGAGTTCTCGCATGTAAGTGGAAACAACTAACTTGTGACTGGGCATGCGTTTGTTGTAGTATTCAAGCAGATGTAAGTTGTCACCATCATCTTCTTGCAGCACTATGTCGATCTCATACAAGCTTGCATCCGTAGTTACTACGAATGTAAGTTTAGGATTTGAAATGTGGAGCACCGGATGACTCACCAAAGCCTCCTTCAATGCTTGGAAGGCGGTTGTACATTCCTCATCCCGCGTGTAAGGCACATTCTTGCTTGTCAATTTGGACAGCGGACGAGCGATGATAGAGAATTTGGGCACAAACATACGGTAGTACGACGCGAGACCAAGAAAAGAACGCAACTCTCGGACATTTACCCGTTGAGGCCAGTTGCGGATGACCTCCTGTTTGGTTGCCTCGGACTCTAGGCCCGCAGCGTACAACTGATGTCCAAGGTAGATGATGCTGTCCCTCCCAAACTCAGATTTCTCAAAGTTGAGATGGACCTGCGCATCCTTGAGGATCTTCAAAACTTCTCAAGGTGTCTCATGTGTTTTTCCATCGATTTGTTGAAGATTAGTATGCCATCCAAGGGCATGACGGTAAATTCGTACAGCCCATCGCAGTTTTTGAATGCAGTTTTATGCTGGTCTGCGGGGTCGACTTCAATCTGGTGGTAACCAGACTTGAGGTTGCTCTTGTTGAAGACCTTGCATCCACCTGCAACATCAAGCAAATCATCAATGTGTGGCAAAGGGTATGCAATTCTTTCTTGTTATTCTATTCAGTCCGCGGTAATCGATACACATTCGTAGCCTGCCTCCTTTCTCACGGACAAACAGAACTGGTGCACCGAATTTGGATTTGTTTGGCTTGATCCAACCTTTTTCAAGCATGCCATCGATCTGCCTTCGCAACTCCAATTCGTCTGAGCCCATTTGATAAACACAACCCTTTGGAGGAGTGCTGCCTTCTATCAACTCGATCTTGTGTCGGACTGGACGCACGGGAACTCCACGTGGTTCGGCCAAAACTTCAGGGAATTGGTTGAGAAGGCTGCGGATCTCTGTTGGGATCTTCGGAGGTGGTTCATCAGATTTTGGTGCAAGCATACCGGATTGCATAGGTGTAGCCAAAATAATAGGATGTGAAGCAAAGTCGTTTGGACTAGAAGTAGATTTAGTAGAGGTAGAAGTAGTTGCATTAGAAGTAGAATCGGCATGCAAAGTAGAATCATTATGTACAGGAGAACTAGAAGGCACATGAGCAGGCCTAACGAAGGCTATATACATTTGCTCATCAACTTTGCGCTTGCGCCACTTTTTGCAGAATTTCATTTCATTGAGAAAAGTCACTTGGGACTCGTGCGGCTCGTCCAAGAGGACTGGACACACGATCTCCATGGCATCTTTGACCATGAATTGTGAGTCCTTCCATGTGGTTCTTCCACATTGGGCCTACAACCACCCAAAGCCAATAACCACGTCGAAGGGGCACTTATCAAGGACATAGAAGCGCATGCGTGATTGTGTGGTCCGCGTCAAAGGTAGTGCGCACACCTTTGATTGCATGCATAGATGTGACAACCTCTTGGTTGCCCACTTGGGTCCGACAAGGATTTTGAAAAGTCACTTGCTTCATTCCCAAACGTGCCTTACGAATGTCGTGCGGTGAGTAGTTGGCGGTTGTGCCATGTATCGTCCAAGAGGACTGGACGCACGATCCCCATGGCATGTTTTTTTCACATTGGGCCTACAACCAGCCAAAGCCAATAACCACGTCAAAGGGGCACTTATCAAAGACATAGAAGCTTAACTCATGCGTGATTCTGCGGTCTGCGTCAAAGGTAGTGCGCACACCTCTGATTGCATGCGTAGATGTAACAACCTCTTGGTTGCCCACTTGGGTCCGACAAGGATTCTGCAAAGTCACTTGCTTCATTCCCAAGCGTGCCTTACGAATGTCGTGCGGTGAGAAGTAGTTGGCGGTTGTGCCATCGGCCATGAATACGGAGTTTGAAGAAGATCAACTTCGTTCTCCCTTGCGCGCGTTCTTGCTTCATGTGAGCCCAACGCAACAAGAGAGCATGAAAGTCAATATCTTTCGACTCCACCCAAGACTCCTTGTAGAGGATGTGCAATTTCTCAGCCTTGGAATTAACATCAGATGGGTTATGAGGAGAGGTTTGCTCGCAAGGACCCTCAACAAGATTGCGAGGAACTCAAT